TCGATGCCATCAACGCTCTAGCCGACATGCGACAAAAGGCACCGGCCACTGTTACGGTTAACGTGAGGGGTAGGGGAGTTGCGTACGCTACGCTGTGGGACGAAAGACGGTCATACTATGCCCCAGACGGGTGGGCGGGTGTGTGGCCTGGAGTTCTGTACAACGGTTTAGGTGGGGCAACACGTGTCGAGGGGGAGTATGCACTTGCTGAACGGTCGAACAATTATTCACCTTGTGCAGTAGGAGGGAGAGGCACACCGGTGTGTGACGAAGCACATAATAAGGAACTCCTCGAAAGGGGGAACATGACGCTGCTGCGGACAAACTGCCTTTGAGTACATGCGAGCAACACGGCACTCCTGTGACGCACACTGCACGACGCTCGGAACCCCGTTAAGTGCCTTCGAGCGAAGCGAGTCACACAACACTGTGACCGCACACTGCACCGCGCCCGGAACCTCGCCAATTGCCTTCGAGCGAAGCGAGTCACACGGCACTGTAACCGCACACTGCACCGCTTCCGGAACCCCGTGAAGTGTGTCTGCGAGCGAAGCGAGTTACGATGCCACTTTGTCTTACTCCAAAACCATTACACAAACAACAACACACCAAACCAGGCTTTGAATTTTTTCTCTCTGTTTTTCCTCTTTTTCTCTTTTTCTGTGCCAGATGGCCTTCACGCTGCTTGGGTTGTGAAGTACCAAGATTGAACCAAGGGCGTGTACCCCTTTCCCTCCTGCCTGCGATTGGTGACTCCTAGTACTGGCACGTACCCCCGCCCCTTCCTTTGGCCGTCGACCTGCCTCCATGTAGTGGGAGGCTACCCCCCCAGGCTGGTGGTGCGGCCGATCCACTAGTCTAATTATTTATTTTATTTTATTTTATTTGTTTCTGATTATATTTTGTTTTCTTGTATTTTATCGCTCTGCTGACCCTTGGGGTCCATTTTATTTTGGTATACCTTTTCTAGGTACGTTAGCCTGTGACCACGGAAATTGGCCGAGTCAAGTGATGGATTAGTACGGAGAGATTGAGACAGAAGGAGGTACTGGATAGAGAGACCGGGATGGTTTTTAATGTGAAGACAACAACAACAACAACAACAACAACAGTCTCAGTTGTTATACCTCGCATAGCCTGCAGAGCGAGTGGAGGACTCCAGATTTTTTTTTTTTGCCTCCCATCATTGGACTCTGTCGTCTGCCCCTCTGGCCCCTATCCTCCACTTCTACCAGCTAGACGACCCAACCGGGGTCACATAGAATACCCGTCGTTGATTTCTTTTGACTTGCGGACCCCTCGGGGCCAGTTTATTTGAGTGTACCTGTTTAGGGTAAGTTAGCCTGCGACCACGGGAACCGACCGCGTCGAGTGTTGGATCAGTACGGACATACGAAGGTACTGGGTAGAGAGAGATCGGAACGGTTTTTAATGTGAAGACAACAACAACAACAACAACAACAACAACAACATTGTGTGAAGCGGGAGAAGCAGGCAACAAGACGACACCCGCTGCTGCTCTCCTCCGTGACTATTTAGCGATGCAGCAATAGGATAGATACCTGGCACGTGTTCGTGTCCGTTCGTTCCTCGCTAAACGATTTTCCAGACGAAAAGAGACAAAGAAAGCCAGCCAAAGGAGGAACAAAGAACAAAACGCACGCGGCGGCGGCCGATGTTTGAAACAAATTTGTTTGGTAGTCATGACCAACACTCGCCGCAGCAGCGAACGGCCTTTTTCCCCGACAAACTCAGGGCTGCAATGGTTGGGGGGGTTGCATCTACTGTAGGGGGTAAGCCGGGGGGGTCGTGGTAGGCGTCGTCATGTACGCTTGTCTCATCACAAGAAGCACGCCATCTGCAGATGAGAAAAAAAGCGACCTCCAAACACCGCTCACTTCTCTCTCTCATGAACGAGGCCGGCGCATATGTATGGGTTGAACGCGGGAAAAGTAGTGCGTGTTTCGCATTGCGTTTGTACATACACACAAAGGGCGCGGGACGGGGGCAACGCACACGCTGGCGGCGGGTGAAGACATCTTGTGTCGGCGAACGGGCGTCTCATGGTTGTACCGACCACTCATATTTCGTGAGTGACGCGCGAAAGCATTGAAGGTATGCATGTCCGACTGGACGCGTCGACTCTCTCCTCGACGCAAGTGCATCACAACAAACATGCGCAGCTTCTCTCTCTCTCTCTCTCGTCGCTGTTGCTCCTCCTCACCTGTACGAGAAGAAGCACAGCCCTATGCCGGCCACGATGAAGGTCACAGAGAGCGGCACAAGCTCCTCCTCAGAGACGGCGGGGAGCGTGAAAGATCCCATGGATATGATGTCCCCCTGTGGGCCAGCAAGATGTTGGATGCTCGGCTACTGCTGTACCTGCTTTGTAGTACGCAGGAAAACGTCTGCGACACAAATCAGCGTTACCGAGCGCGCGCGCGCCGGGCCACTTCGCTCTCGACAGAAAGACCTTCAGTATGCGGCAAGATCTAGGCAAACCTTGTTCCTTGGCGTCTTCAGTCCCCGTACACAGGGAACACCATAACATGTGTGTGCGTGTGGACTGCTCATCCCCGAGCCGCCGAGCCGCCCCTCACCAGGGGCTCCGCGATTGTTTTTGTTTTGGCACCTCCCCTCACTAACTGCGGCCAGCTCTCTTCCTTCTGCTGGTCCTGCGCAGCAGCTTAGCTCTCACGGTCTACAACGGTTGGTAGCAGTGCACAGCAGTATTTTGTGCCGGAGGGGGTGAGTGGTGCGCCTTTTTCATCCCCGACACACAGACTGTGGCGCAAGCACAAGGATGCGGGAGGTGGCGCTGTTGACTTCTTCGGCGGGAGATGGGCTGGCCACTGTGGTCGACGTCCTCACGGGCACGCAGCTCTCGAGCCTCAAGCACTGCTCCTCGCAGCCTGGCTCCACGGCTTTGATCGCTGGGGACTTCGTTGTCAGCGCACAGGTAGTAAAAGAGAGAGATTTACATTACAAGGGCTGGAAAACGGAAAACACTCTGCCTACGTGAAGGCTGTGTTGCTTTTTCGGTGGATACACGCTTGTCCTGAATTTCTCCACTACCGCAGACCCTACGGTTTACGGCGCACCTCTTGAATAGATGACAGAGATCGGTGGAGATCATGTGTGGATGGATATCTTGCGTCTACAGCAACTGCATGGATTTAGTAGTATTCGCGCACCTCTTGAATAGATGACAGAGATCGGTGGAGGTCATGCGTGGATGGGTATCTTGCGTCTACTGCAACTGCACGGATTTAGTAGTATTCGCGCAGCACCGAAAGCTCAGCGTGTTCGCTAGACACCGATATGTTTGTCGTACACACATCTATGTTGTGTGGTAGGTGGTTGCCCTGTGGCGTCATCAAATGCTCGCTGGTCGAGTGCGAATGAAATACAACGCTGGAGCACCCCAACTTAGCCGACTCCTAACTTTTATCCAGCATGTTCGCTTCACGTGAGAATACCTGTGCGCAACCTACTGCAGCAGTATATGTACGTCATCAGACGAGAGGGAATCAGAAGCTGGCAGTCTTCACGGCTATGGTTGTGCGTCACAACAGACAAGTGCTGGCAACATGGCCCCCGACCGAGTGTGGCCCATTGTTGCACAATCTCAAAAACCGATTGAACACTGCTTGCTGCGGACGGAAAGTCAGCTTGATGCGTACCGTATATGACACAAGATAACACACCCCCTTGACTGCCGGAAGAGTCACAGCGCCGAAAACGGCGGCGTTGAAACCGTCTCGTTGAGAGCTTTTCGAAATGTATCGTTTTTGGTCATGCATCCTCTTCGTCGTGGAGTAATCGAGCTTTGAAAATCGGTCCAGGGGGTGTGTTATCTTGTGTCATATACGGTAGTAGTGGTGGCATCACGGACCGCCGCCGAGGCTCGCAAGGACGATGACCAGCTTCTGGTTCATCCTTGTGAAAACGTGGATAACCTGGGCCGGCAACAACCCGACATTTCGCTCCTCCGTCCCGGCATTATGGGGATGCGAGGTCTATGGTCTACCGACCACGGCATATGCATTTTCATGAGTGTACCCTCCGAGAACGACCAGTACCGCCGTGAAGGCTAACTTACGTGCCAGGCGAGGGTGTGCGATCCTTTGGTGGTTCTAAGATCGATTGATCCACAACCAAGAGGGAGAGGGTCGCATCGAAAACCGACAGACACTAGCAAGGAAAGCTACATAGCTGTCGACGAGAGGTCTCGCCAAAGCCACACTTTTCGCCGTTGGTGCACCTCGGTGGCTGGAACAACGCAGCCTTCTAAGACAATGAGTTATACGCCCGTTGCGCGCTTGGCACGCACTGCTGTCTGCGTTGGTAGACAATTCATCCTCGGTTCCCAATACGCCGAGCTCGCTTGTGTGTGGCACTTAACGCGCTGGAAGAGCGCGCCCCCAAGACACCACGCCGAGCGCCGACATCAACTTCCGTTTGACGAGCAAACAATGGTTGCAATCTGCTCTCGGGTCTTGAAGCGCTTAAAGCTTGTCCCTGCCGTTCACAAGTGATTTTTCTCACCGACTTTGGTTTGCGCTTGCCCCTGCCACTTCACACTTCAATTGTTTCACCGATGTGCGCGATGCCTTTGGCGAAAACGTGTACCATACGTGCGGCAGGTGAAGGGGACAGCGGTGCACTTCTGGGCCTGGGGAACCGAACAGCCGAGGCTCAAGTGTCACGCGCCGGAGAAGCTCGGCCCCCTTGCCGTGACCGGTGAGTTGCAGGACCCAACCGCCGCGAACTGGGCGGTAGTATTCGTCTCGATCCAGCGCTTCCCCCCTGCTCGCCTGGCCATCGCTGTTGTCCACCCGGAAATCGATCATGACCGCCTGATCGTTCAGGATTTTGGGGAAAAATAGTCGTACACATTCCCTTGCCGCTGTGAAGAGTACTACTGCGGTATGAAAAATCCTCTTGACCACGGCGTCCCCAATCGGTAGCCCAACGCGTACACAATCTGAACATTTGCAGGACGTAAACGTTGCAAGGTGTGTGGATGCATTTCGTAGTTGGTCATCAGAGCTTCTTGACGTTGGCGACGTAACGTCCGACTCATCTGATTGCGCGGCAACTACTACTTTCACACAACGTGTGCCGGGTTGTTTCTTAGGGATGGTTTATTGATAAGACACGAGGCGGGCGGCATGAGGAGGGCGGGCGCGCTCTAGCGTCGGCTCATCCTTTGCCGCAGCTTTCGCGTTGAGAACCCTTGTCCTCTTTGTTCTGTATACGAAAGTGTAGCCAACTACGAACATGCCCGTGCACCTCTCATTGTGGTCCTCCTGCCGTCTCCACCGTGTAAGCCACAACCGACGTCGGCGAGCGCTGGGGACCATGGCCACGGCTGTGTTGTTTTCTGACGATGCTGCGGTAGTGTAGTGCCACTGACTGCTTTGAACGGCTGTGCCCAATTCGTCGAGATTGAACCTCGCTCGGTACACCAGTGAGAAAGTGTTGTTCCGTAATTGCATGTGTGTTTTGTGACGATGTACCGTGCGGTTTTATTCCCTTTTGTTTTGTGTTCGGGCAGGAGACGGGTGGCTGTGTGCGGGCGGGGGAGTCTCGGGACGCGTCTACCTGTGGGAGGTGTCCAGCGGGACTCTCCTTCGCGCGTGGGACGCCCACTACAAGGCAAGGGCTAGGCGTAGCAACCATGACGGTGACCCGGGGGGAGAGGGCAAGAGGGCAACGACACACACCCTTGCGCCCACCCCTTCCCCACAAACACACACCCAGGTGCTCGTCATCTCGAGGGCGCGTGGTATTTCGACTAATACGGCATTCAGAATATCCCACCCCCTGTCGTGTCCTTGGGCCCCCCTTTGGCGGCGCGATTGCTCTGTTTTGTCGGCGACACACCCCAGGCGGTGTCGGCGCTGGCGTTCAGCCCCGAGGGCTACTTCCTCTTCTCGGGCGGGGAGGACGCGATGGTCTCCTCGTGGAACATGCTCGCAGCCGTCGACCCTGACGGGGGGGAAGCCTTCAAGGTACTGGCTGCTGCTGTAGACAAAACTGTGCTCGTGTTGGAATGCGTTGGAATGCGTTAGGCACCTTGTTTTTTTTGGACGTCAAGTTTTCGTGATAGTTGTGGATGCAATAGTCGGGGGCGGAGAGGAGGAAGGCGACGCACGTAGGATATGTTTTCCGTTTTTCCACCCTCGTTCCATGGCACCTGCCTCGAAAGAAACCTTTCTCTGAGAAGGACTCAGCGGTCCCTCTCTGTCGTCGACCTTGATGTCGAAGTTTGCGCCAGTGATTTCGTCGCGTTTTGTAACATGTTGGCTTGGGCACAATGCGAGGACAAATTTCGGTTGGTGTGTACTACCTGCGCCAAGATTCGAACTCACCTCTAAACGCCCGAAGCTTGCTCCGCCGTGTCCACCAGTCGAAACGCTGGGGTGAGATACATTCGTTTATTTCCGATTACACTAGACTCTGCCAATAGGATTGGTCTATTTAACTGTTTTCACCGGTCCTCCGTGCATGAATCAACGGCAGCGACACGTCGAAATCAGCTATTTTTGTTTCCCCCAGGTTCATGATATCTCGACTTTGGTTCTCCCAGCACGTCATCATGGCCCGCAGACCAATAACCAAGCGCCGTCCATACCCACTGTTGTCTTTAAGTCTCTCGTTACTTCCTTGCGTTTTTCGTGTTTGTCAGGGCGGCGGCGGCGGCGGCGGCGGCGGGAAGTCGTCGCTGCCTGCAACGTGGACCTCCTCGGAGCACTCCCTCCCCGTCACTTGCCTACACGCCGCCAAGGCCGGTGGCAGGGTCTACTCATGCTCCCTCGACCGAACCGCCAAGGCCTGGGACGCGTGCTCCGGGCGGCTGCTCCTGTCGGTGACGTGCCCCGCCTTCCTTAAGGCGGTCGCCACGGACCCCGCCGAGGCGTTCTTGTTCACCGGGGGAGGGGGTGGGACGATCTTCCAGGTGCGCGTTTTTTTTCCTCGTGTGCTTCAGCACTTGGCGCCCGCACTTGATTTAGAACTCTAAATAGTTCTGGCCGAGGCTGGAGTTCATAGTTCATAGTTCCTAGGTTTTGCTACGAGTGGCCGGTCTATAGGTTTTCGTGCAAGGGTTCTTGACCGAGCTCGTCGCAATCTGTTGTCAGGTTTGTAGATTTATTTTTTTTCGAGATTCAATTCCTTTCAGCTGCTGAGTCCTCAAGTGCGGGCGCTAGATGTATCACAGCAAGCAGCCCGGGGGTTGTGATGCGGTGGAGTTTTTTTTTTTCATGCCTCGTGAATGTGCGCGTGATCGGGGGGGGAAGGGGGAGTCCGGTATCCGAGACAGCAGTGGTTTGTTGATATGAGCTGGTTTTGTCCGAAAATGGTTGTGTTCCCCGGTTTGATCGTCCCACAACTCTCGTCATCGACCAGGCTTTTTTTTTTTTTGCGTGTGTTTGTTGCCCGTGGCGCTCTCGCACCTCTAACTCTCGCAGTTTGGTTTTCGCATTTTGAGGCCCACTCTGAGAGAGGAGCGGCGAGTTGTTTGCGCTAGTCCGCTCTCAACTAAAACGCGGTCCTGAGGCTCTGCTTGTAATCACCATCGTGTTTGATTAGCCGCCACCCACGTACCCCGCACTGTCCTGCCCCCAGCTGGATATCAGCGCCACAGCAGTCGCGGCGACGGCTTCGAACGCGGCGGTAGCTACGTCTTCAGGGGGACTGCAGTTCGAAGAAGAGGCAGAGGTGAGGGTGGAAGGAAAAAGTTTCACCAAAGGTTTATTGCTGCGGAGCTGCTGTTTTGAGGAAGAGGTACAGTAGAGGTGCGAGAGAAGAACACACCAAAGGGTTGGTGCTGGGCTGGGGGTTGTTGGTCTCTTGGCACGGAGGCAGCGACGCGGCGGTTGCTTGCCCGACAATCGGCAGAGCACGTTCGTAGCGGGGGTAAAAAGATCGACTTCGTGATAGCACTTGCCAGGCACTACGGCGAAGGTGGTCGGGAAATGCTTGCAGCGACGTGTGCATCAGGATTGCCGACACGAGCAGCTCGTAGACAACAAGAGGTAGACAGAGATAGACAGAGGCAAGGATGAAGTTTGAGGACACAAAGAAAAACGGGTGGGAGACAGAGTAAATGCCAGAGAGATGCTAATTTATGACAGAGACAAAGACGCAGAGGAAAAGGTAACGATAGAGATGGAGAAAGGGGGACCGTAAGAGCGACAGAGAGACTCAGGGAGAGGGACAAAGACAAAGATGCACTAGAGGCGGACAGAACTGGAGACAGAGAGAGACAAGGTGGATAGAGGAGCAGGGTGGATCGGGAGAGCCGTACGGGGGACAGAGATGAAGGCCAGCGGCATGGCTTGCACATGAGTCTGAAGGAAGGGTGCAAGAGGGGTGAGATATGTGATATGTGATAAAAGGCTGTGTTACAAACCGTAGGCCGGATGCGTCCCGGGCTAATTAATACCCGTGAATCACAAAAAAGCCTTCACGTCTTCGCCTTGCCCCACGTCACCCCCCCCCCCCCCCCCCCCCCCCCCCCCCCCCCCCCCCCCCCCCCCCCC